CAAGTATCTCGAGGTGCTTTTCTAGAAATCATTGTGTAGTATCGTATTTGCGAGAACGTTAACGTTTTAAACCTATCTAACGATGAGAAACATGAAAATATGATTTTTGTTCTCCATGGCGGAGGCTTGGTTAATCATTAGCCATCGAAGTTTACTTATATGCAAGGAAAAAAGATTCAGAACGTATGCTATAGCTAAATACTTCGTTGGTACTACCTCAGTGAAGCTGCGATTTCACAAAAGCCTTGATGTCATAAAATCTAGAGTACACAAAAAATTTCTGTCAACAAGCAAAACTTTTCACAGCACGCCACATTTTAAACAGCGTAAAAAGATACATTGTAAATTTTTCGAGTGGTTTATTATTAGTGGGCAAGGAACTTTGCTCGCGCAGGCTAATATAGTATAACGGGCTAGCCAAAATAACTAGACATTTAGTGAATCTAACGAATGGATGCATATGCGAAAATTGAAAAGATTTGTTTGACATTAAGGCCATGGCGAGCTTATGGCTTGGCCTGGCCTGTCATCAAGAAACACGAGAAAATCTAGACTTCTCTCGTTTTTTCTGCAAAGCACCTTCTACCCTTATTTCTATAGCATTGATATAGTTCTGCCGAATAAACCGAATCGCCCCACCTCTGCCTAAAGTTGAACCGCAATTATCATAATAGAATTGAACGGAAAACAAGACTCGGGCAGAACAGGAGATTTTTCATTATCGTTTTGAGTTAACATAGTTCTGCCAGCAATCAAATTAACTTTAGATCACTGTGGTCTCTAAAGTAAAAAATCTCTTTGATGCACAGACCTCCGGATCTGTGGTCTGGACATCCGGACCACGGATTTATCGTAATACAGTATTAACACGATTCTAAGGTTTAACAGGTTTTAGAAATAAACCTAGAAAGAACTAGATGTAAAATATTAAACAAGCAGATCTAAGGGTAGTTTCATGACCTTTTTTGCTTCAAAACCTAGTGTAAAAATGGCCTGGCTTCGAACCCGAACGGCCGTAGACAGACTTCGCTTCGTGTTGGAAGCCAGCCGTCCGATGGAACGTTCAATAAACGAATGTAAAACTCGAAACATAGAGGCATTCAAGATACGAGCGACCGTTGTGTTATATAATGTTTTACACTTATATTTACTTAGAGATTTTGTAGCGTCATTAAAGATACTCCACCGCCAAAATTATGACTAAGACTTAAAGAAGTGCACAAGAAAGGTAGTAAAACAAATCTGTCAAAAACACGGTGAAATCGTAATGATAATAATCTAAATACCTATCCGCCTTTCTTTCTAAGACGATGGTGCAAAGTTCTTCTTGCTAGAATCCGCTTTTTGCCTAAGTTTATAACGCCTTCCTGGGAATTAGATAGTTTCTTTCTGTCTGCAATTCATGCTTGGATTTTTACTCCATCAATTTAGGCATAACTTTAAACGAGTGGCAGCAAATACAATGTCATTATTTGCCACTAAAGCATAAAAGTGCCGAGCAATTTACGTGGCTGGCTGTGTTTTACATGACCTTTACTTAGGCTCATTTTCACATGTGTATTTCTTAAAAATAGGACTGTCTCACTACACTGGAGTAGTAGGACTGAATAGTAGAAAATACTATTTTTTAAATTTAATACACATGCGTTGTGTAGTATATGTTGATGATGAAGCGATACATGGTCTCTGTCAAAACTAGCTTCCCTAGAGGCTTATAGTTTCCGTACCGACCAGTCATTATCTAAAGTTGCACTACGTGAATACCCATCGAAAACTTATACTGCGCACGTCGGACGAGGTCACATGATGCACGTTAAAAGTGGTTGTTCGACCCCTGTACGTGCGCGAACACGTACGCCGTAGTCACATCGAACTACGTATACATCCGGAGAGTTTGGGCGTATTGCGTAAAAGAGTGGGTTTGCGATTCTCTAACCGAGACGGTAAAAAGGCATCTATATATGTCTGCTCTTCCATTTCGGTAAGTTATGAAGTATTAATATACGAATGGTGCCGTTAGTCGTAGAAATTCAGCGTATAGCTAGCTAACTAATTTGCAGTTTGGGTCAAATCGTTATAGGAGCAGATGAAAATCGTCGGCATTATAGAAGACAACATTGGTTCGTTAAACATTATCACACCTAACCTGTGGCAGATCGCTAAGAAATATCGACACTATAGCTAACAAAAATAGTAACAATGCTTTAATACAATGTCTATATAGTTATGTTTATAATCCTCAAAGTTTATTTAAATGCTTCGCACCTGTGAGGCCTATGTGTCTAACACTCAACCAGTGAAATAGTGCAGTGTCTCAACGTATTCAACGTTACGTCACGATAGTGGTGTGAAGTTTCATACGTCCCGGTACTATATTAAATATTGCTTGTGTAGCCCCTGATGTTCACACTCAGCAGCAGTTACTGAAGACAGTTATCGTGTACCCCACAGTGCCATCGAATAACCAGCCGTTGAAACTGAATTGTGCCTTCCGCTCTAAAGCTAGCATAATTTTGCAAGCGAATCGTGCGTTGCCTACGTGACAGTGGCGTCATCACTCTCTTGGGCTTTCGAGGTTTAGAACTGGTGGCTCCAGCTAGCGGTATACCCCGGAATTAACAGGAAATGGGTACCGTCAAATTGCTAACCAGTGAGTCTTGTATTGAACGATTTGGTTCGATTTGTGGATGAATCAGCTCTAACGTACCACGTCGCTTTATATTCCAGCTGTGGAATCTCGCTATTATCGGCAGCGTAGCCAATGCAGGCATTAGCGTCCATGAACATAAACACTGAGATAGAAACGTACACTTTCTACGACGGTAAATAGCTCGAGGCCATCGGTTAATTAATTATAAGATGGACTAGGTTATTACCGCCTTCAGAGTGTAAAGTGGGCATCCATTTCGTTGACTGATGAATATGGTGGACTGGCATGCAAAGGCCAACGGACCGTGACGGCGACGACGGCTTGTGGTGCTCTACTTCGGACAGCTTCTTTCGCTGAAGTCGATCTCCAGCATTTGAGTTAGCTCTCCTATGCACGGCCTATACGCAGCCAACAATACTTAAACGACAGCAGTAATGATGTGAAAACCTGGTTGACGCGTTGACTGATGATGTCATATCTTCTGATACCTTTGGTTAAATTTGTAAAGCAAACTTTTCTTTGCACATGACAGTTTTAGCAAAACTATCTCAAGCTAATACATATGTAGTGAAAAAAATATACGTACGTAACTGTGTACCTTAATTCTGCGCTGCAAAAAAAAAGAACTGATGCGTGCATGAGTTACGCTTCGTCGACCGGTAGAAAGACGTATGTGAGATATTTTAGTTCACCTTTAGCTGGCTGCAACATAAAATATGTATAAACCGCTCCATATGTTAGATTTTAAAGGGAACAGTTAGTTTTTAGCATATCGGTATAGACGTATCGATGGATTTCCTCATACGCTGCTTTCTCGTATTTATTCTTGGGACACTTTCTGCTTAATGGAGATGTATGTGGATATGATAAAATTTTTAGGTACAAAAAACATTTCCTGTAAGAATTTTTGAGGTTCGCGTTTACGTATTTGACTTTTGTCCAATAAACAAGACGTACTTATTCTCGAAGTCAATTTTACCAAAATAACATCCAACCTATACATGATTTTTCTCTGAATTCTCCGCTCAGCAAATTGAGGCTTTGAAAGCCAGGTTTTCGTTATCGTCAATTGTCTCTCTCAATGGTTTGCAATGCATGTTTTTTTGCATATCTTAGATTTTCCTCATGAAATCTATACAGACTGTGAAATTGGGGAAATGATAATAATTGACATAATTATCGTAGCTTCAAAACTACTACCATACTATGATAGTTTTCCATATCATTTTATTATTACTATCAAATATTTTCACCATTTTAGAACAACGGGGTCGTTCTAAGATGGTGAAATATAGAAGAAAAAAGTTTAGGACGCTGTTGGAGTGTCTGCACTCAGCATTAATGTATACGTAACTATATATCTCAGTCGCAATATACAGGATCATACAGGTCGGTGCACGGTTCTTTGTCCCGTTTGCAAGACAATGCGGCCGTACATGCCGTAATACCGAACTGGTCTAACTATTGACCAGTTATCAAATAGGAATATCCTCTAGTACAGGTAACATATTGATGACGTTGCACAGCTTCTCTAAGTTTAAGATGGCTCTAATAGGACCACACAACGCTCTTGGAGAACCTATTAACTTACTTCTGTTTACTAGGAAACATCTCGCACGATTGCAGTGCTGTAATAACCATTTTTAAATAACCCGTAAACCTGAAAATGTCCCCAGACAACCTTCACGACTATTGAAGAGATCTGCTCACTCGAGGTTCACACAAATACATTTAAGCAGCTACAGGTAGTGATGATTAGCGGTGGCAAATCGTTATTGTGAACTAATAAATACATTCGATAGATAAAAACACTATATTCTTACATTATATTATACTGTATATAAACACTTCTATGGCCTTGTTTTTTCACGACTGTACTCGTTACGGCCAGGTTCGCCGGCTTGGCAATGTAAGTGTTACAGCGTTATCGCGGCACATTTTTAATTTCAACAGTGTAGTCGACGAAGCAGGCCTTACTGTTGTACTCTGCCAGATAGATTCCCCGCAGGTACGTGTGTGCACGCAGTTGATAGCCACTCAGCTAAGAAACTCTCAGCCTCAAAGATCTTCTGATCCGATCCATTTTAATCTAGCAGTACTGAGACAAAACACGGTGTGACGACCATGGCATGACGGTTCCGTGGACGCAGTTACAATAAATACCTACCCCCGCTACCCCATTACCAGGAACGATCGAGCACAATGAGACCTTTATGCAGATCGATTCCTTAACCACTTGATTAATAGTAAGCAAACTAATCACGCACTGCATCTCTGATATTTATATCAATGACTCTATTAGATACATATAATCTGCAGAGTAATTGTTCAGCGTCAACCGTGTACGTACCATTTTCGGAGTTGTTTGCCGTCGACTGAAAAGCATTCACAGAACGGAAGATGAAGATACGGGTTAGGATCGTATAACGGTTCATCGGTATTCTCTCTATCTGAAGTAAGCTGTTTTTGCTTAATAAACTATATATAAAAAACAAGTATACACATTGTATCTAGTCAGAACAAACCTAACCGAAAATGATACGAAGCTGAATGAGTTAGCTATAATAATACCTTATTGTTTTATAAAAATAGCATTTACTATGTAGCGAAGATTCACTATATTTGAAACCGGCATTTATTTTGTTGGTGTAATTTCATCATCATTTTTTTTTAGTTTTATGCCCTTGAGACTCGTCTTTTGGTCAAACTGAAGACGTTAATAATTCTGGCCGTTGCCTGAACAATAAAACGCACGGGAAAGCTTCTCAAACAAGTATTTAATTCAATGCTTACTTTTAACCCGGTTCAGTATTACGGCGTCGTACGCCTTGCAGGCTAGGCCGTAACATACAAAGCTATAAATTGAATCATTGAAGCTTTTTTCAGGTTCGAATATTCGAACTAGTATTTCTACTATCTAAATTCGAGAAGAGGAGCTGTTCGATAGGTTCGCGGACAGAAAATCAAATGCGCAGCTGATTGAGGCTCAGTTGAGCGTGTGACGGTTTCTACGCATGCAACAAAGCCGTCATGACGAATTCGACTTTCAGGGCCACGCTTATTTTTGCTTACAACCTCCTTTCAGGTTTCTCCTCCGACCTGAGTATGCCCAAAGGCGTATGGCCATGTTTTGAGTAGAAAAAAGGATCCGAGGTGGCATACTCGAGTCGTATGATCGGTTAGCGCTATGGGGTTCTTTGACAGAGTTTTTCTAACGCTAGTTGATTGCAAATTGTTCTCCAGTACTATTGGACAAAGTCGGATTGGTATTGGTAGCGATTTTCCCTGGGTTTAATATGCCATACACCCCTCAGGATCGTAGAATATGAGGTAACACTTGATAAGGTTCGTACCGAACGGTTGCACACTGCATTTGAAAGTAGCGGTTTTATAGCAGTATATGAATAATTGCAAAATGCAATCTTTTAAACGTGCCCCGTTGTGTTATCTATTGCTAGAAAATCAATGAATGAATGACGCACGTGACGTCACGACTAAAATGTTATTGATGCTAGCTACAAATAACATAAACGTCCTTCCCTTAAAACTTGAAAGAATCACAGCTTGTTCAGCTTCTCCATAATTCATCTTTTCTAAGCTGTATATTAAGTTCGTTTTCATAAGCTTCGTATAAAAAGTTATTCCGAAGCAACTGAAGTTACTAAGGCTTGGTTTTTTACTTGTAGTATCTAAATTCTTGTATACAGTTGCGCTAATTTCCTATCGACTTTTATCCCTGACCCTTAAAAGCATCTGCGCATTATTTCGAGATTTTTCCCCACTGCACCCCTCTTGCTAGACCCTAGCACATGCACATGCATTAATCACCCTATCAATAATCATCCCATTCACCGATAAATATGCGTCTTCAGCCTAACCTTAATATTTCAAGCTATAGCTAATCATTACATAACCCATTGTACGCAGAATAAGCACATACAATAGGTTCAACGTTCCTACACGCAACTGTTCTATTAGGTAGAGTTGATTATATTGAATGAATGAATGACTGTACATTGTTCATTCAGAGACTGGGAATCGAAAATTTTTATTCGAGGGTGGCCAAGGCTTGTTAGGTTACGTTTTTCCTGAGATCCGATAGAGGTTTCTTATAAATAGAGGGTTAAGGTTTAGGAAATGTTTGCGTTGGGAACGAGAGCCTGCTTGGTATACTGCGATACGGGCCTACCTCGAGATATAATATATTCTGCCAACGATTCTGTTTGTGCGTCATCGATTCTGCTGATCTGATATCAGTGGTCTTTGATTGAGAGCAGTGGGGTCCCGAAGGGCTAGTCTGGGGAGAAGGAAAAAGGCATCGTAATGTGGCCCTCATGCGCCTTTGCTCGGCATCAAAAGCTGGGTGGCGGTCACTGCTCCATGGCTGTACGATACAAAAGCGATCAAAAATCGCGTCATGTAAGCGTACATAAGACCAGCTTGGCCTCCTGCTCCTGGTGCTACAGACCAATAAGATAGCTTTTGCTGCCAGGCAGACCAGCAAAGAGACAGAGACGCAAGTTATGGATCCTTATTTGCTCTCACCAGAGCCCTTCTATAGGGAAGACGTATGTTGCAGTATGCTTAGCTGTTACTATAGGCTGGCTCTTGTTTACGCAACCTAGGTCAGCCGATGGTTGGCACCATTCTGCTAAGCTTGATGGGGCTGAAACCATGGCCACGAATGCCAAGTACAGGTTAGTGCAAACCTAACCCGTCGTTCCTGGCACAGATGAGCAAAAAGCAAAATTACTGCCTAGTGCAGGCAGGTATATATTACCAGCTGGAGCACAAATATGTATGACGATGCAGCTAATGGAAGTACTATGCAAAATAGGTTGTCGTCAGATTATGATCAAATCCGGCAAAATATTATAGAGGTAAACCACGTTAATAGAGTTGTATTCAGAGGTGCAAGACAATATGAGTTAACGACCAGCATATATAACTGCGGATGTCATATAATATTTAAAGAGTCAGCTTGTTCTAAATCTAGCATTGAATTGCAGCTGGACAATACTACATAAAAAAGTATTGGACTTCTGTTTAGTATATATATATATAACAGGCAATATTCGAAAATCAGTCATCTTTTTTTATTTCAATATATTTCCCAGATGGTAAAGATAGTTTCCGAGTTCGGATCGACCTGGGTTGGGCAGCACAAGTGGCACCCACCATTACGGTTCTAGGCGAGTGTCAATTTTACATTTAGTTCTAATCGTATCACACAACAATTCCTATAAACTGCGTCTAATAAAAAAAAAACAGCGTTTGACACATAGCGGCAGCTCTAGATAGCTCCCCGTTCCCTCCGTTCCCGTCGGGCATGTACGGACGTGGAAATATTTTTGCTGGGAACATGGCAGGTAACATATTCGGTTGAATCCCATTGGTGCAGTAGTCCACCTGCTGCCAATTTGCCTATTCTTATTATAATTCAAATAATTTTTACTTTTTTATCACGCTTCTCTGCGAAAGTGAAGCATAGCATATATTATGATGCGCATCCTTTAGCTACCTAGCCATGCGAATAAGAAAGATACGTTACAAATCGTATTACTATTGAAATTTATTCAGGACGGATATCGCCAGTCATTGACCCAATATTGAGTTCGTGATAAAAAGCCATTTTATTACGCCGAAAACGGACTTTTTTTTGTCGTGACGTAATCTGCCTTGATTCGTTTGGGTGACTGACAATCGTATTACGTTTGTTTTTGATTATTTTTGTGCCTAGCAAGGAGCTGGAACATTCGTAAGCCAGAATCAGATCGATGTCTTTTTGGCATGAAAGGAACAAAAGGAAAGCCATACTTTTTTATTTAAATAAATCATATCTAAAAGTAGAAATAATCACTTTACACTTTATTTTATCAGAACTATGATTGATTAATTGCTTACATCGTCACATATTTTACGCGAACAGGACCAATATTACGTAGATCACGATTGTCGTCGTATATTCTACTGTCGGAATCTGCTAAAGGACGAGTATTAAATGAATTCTCTCACAAAACTTCTATCTCCATATGGAAAAGGACTGTGACTCACGAAGCATGGTAAAAATGGCGGATAGCTACACAGGGTTTGAAGGACCTTTGGAAACACTGAAATGTGTGGTCCAGCGTAAGGCGACTGTCTTGTTTTTCCTTTATGCCTTCCATAAGTCCGAAATATTGAAACCACCATTATGCCTACTCACATTGAGAAAGCGGTCCTCGTTGATAACAGTCCCTATCCAAATACGTCCTCTCTATTTGTGAGGAAAAGACCAAGTTCCGAACGAGGAAGCGAGAACAAACACACGCATCTAAAACAAGGCATAACCACGTTTGCTATTAATTGATATCGGAAAACTGAACCTATCAACTTAAGTATGGCGGACAAAAAAAGATTCCTTTACACAATATTCTGAATATATGGTTAGCGCAGTTTCCAAAGGCCACCATAAATGAAAACCGTCTAGTAGAGCCCCGCTGTTAAAAGTAAAACTCCTCTAGTAGTGTTTACATTCGATTGCTTTGGCAATAACTTCGTATAGCAGCTTGCGTGCCCTTTAATCTCGTGTAAGCTAAATAAACCCTTAGGTAGGATGTTTACGTCTTACGTTTAAAGGTCCATGAGGCTCCACGCGAGATACGTGCTTTCCGTTTCTTTTTCTTCACTCATGCTTCTTCTTACCATGGTTTTTTGCCATTTTAAGTAACTACGAGGTTCCTCGGAAGCAGCTGAAGCGGTATTGAAGGCAAAATTGGAAGATTTAGTTAAACACCAAGTTTTACGGTCATGCACGCGTCATCTAGCGATCGGACCCATGAAGCGTCTATCATAGAATAGATTTCTCTTCGCTAAGCATATTTTAGCGGAGCATGTCAACATCCAGTCAGCGGTTCGGCCATTTTTTGTGCCATCCATGACATAGTGGTAAACCCGGGTAACCGGGCCCAGGTCCTGCTTCCATTAGTAGTTCGCTTCAAATTGACCATCGAAGGCAACCGCCGTCATGTTGAGTAACGGTGCTAGCGAAATGTACTCAGCCAGAATTCGACGCTCATATAGTACATATCACCAACATGACCCAAACATGTAGTCATGTCGATGACATGCTGTGGACAAACGAAGTGCATGGCTTGAGCGAATTTACAGCGTTAGGGCACGATATTCGCTCAGTCCATAGGCCGCTTTTGAATGCCTGTCCCCAGCTGTCGAAACAGCCAAAAGATACTGGTATTTTGCCCAATACACATCATTTATTTACTGCTTCCAGCTTACGTGGCAGTAAGAACTTCTGATGGACATGCGGAGTAGTTGTACGACCCATCTACTAACTACTACGCCATCCACCGGCGTATAGATTATGGCAGCCCAGCAC